TGATATATAGGAAATATAAACTAGTGGTGTATGGCATCGTGCCTTAAGGTAAATTGCTGGAACTTCTCGTACTTTAATAATGTAAATGAAATATTAAATGTTTTCAATATCACGTTGAGTGATGAAAAGGTTGGCAGGTAAACTGGTAGACAGGAAGATTGGTAGACAGGTAAACTGGTAGACAGAAAGATTGGTAAATAGGTAAACTGGTAGACAGGTAAATTGGTAGCCAGGTAAATTGGTAGCCAGGTAAATTGGTGTATTGATACACAGGTTGTTAGGTAAATTAATAGACAGGTATATTGGTGGAGAGGTAAACTAGTGGGCAGGTAGATTGTTGAACAGGTAAATTGGTGGACAAGTAAAATGGTAGATTGATAAACAGGTGGACAGGTATATTGATGAACATGTCTATTCGTGGACAAGTATATTAGGCGACAGGAAAACTATTGGACAGACAAAGTGGTTACAGGTGAATTGGTGATTAATATAAATAATGTAACTTTCATTCAAAATACTTAATCAACCGAATTTAGAATGAAAAAGATTGTCTAATATTTCTAAGTACTCTATAAACTGACAAATGAATAAATGACTATAAGTGAAAATTATTTATTTGAAGTATATAAGTGGTGTTTAAAACTTTAGCTAGAATTAGATTTAAAATCCGAATTATTTTTTTATATTCAAAAAAATTTCTCTACCCAAAATCAATCGTTTTGTCAACACAAGCAGAAAGTTTTTTTAAATCATTCAAATTGGACACTTAATTCTTTTAAATACTGCATTTTTTTGCACATTTAGCTCTATATCTCCGAAACAGCTGGACCTGCCTTTGCCAAAAACTAATCAGCACGTCTACTCATCAATAGGAATCGAATGTTTTATAAATCATTCAAATAGGATAATCCACTACTTCTCCCCATCATTCCGAATCGAATGTTTTGTGGATCACATAAATCGGTTGATCCGTTCTTAAGAACTGACATTTTTATCACTTTTTTTTCATATCTCCGAAGCTGCTGGGCGTGCCTGCGTCAAAAACTAATCAGCATGTCTGCTCATCAATAAGAATCGAATGATTTTCAAACCATTCAAATCGGATAATCCACAGATACACACATACATCCATTTTTCCTGGGGTTTGACTATATGTTCAGAAATCTCTAAAACGTGAAGATATACAAAAATTTTCATTTTCGATTTTTGGTCCATTACTATAACTTTATACGTACCCCTTTATACTTACAAGAAATTAAAAAAAATATAATAATAAATTTAACTCACTATTTACGAGTATAGTCAAGTCGTGATTTTTTTTTATATTTTTTACAGAAACTAGAACTAACAAATGTTTTAGGCGTTTATTACAGATTCTCTAATACTGATGATTTTTAATTTGATGCAGCAATGCCCAAAAAAGGCTATTTTCACTTGGACACATATATAAAATAATATTATAATCAATAAAAATAACGTTTTCATAGAATTTGTGGGTTCCATAAACGGTTGGGTAATAGTGATTAATTTTTATTGATGCAGCAATGCTGGTTAAGAGAAATTTTCTCTTGGAAACATATTGCTAATTTTATTTCCAAGTGAAAATCGATACCACTTCTACTTGACATCAGACTGCTCGACGCGGGTATCGTACCTGGGATCCACGACTTAAAGCCCATAGTTCTAATCACTAATCCACGGAAGAAGCACTATCTATCTTAACCCTTTCAAATCGGATGCCGCCGCTCCGGCGGAAAATTCATATAGTTCTCGCAATTCACGAGTGGAAAAGGTTAAATTATAGATCTACATATAAGCAATTATGTAAATTGCATAATGTAATTAATAATCTTTAATTTATGCAGTTTAACACTTTCCACTCGGATGCCGCCGCTCCGGCGAGTAAATACATATAAATCTTGCAATTTGCGAGTGGAAAGGGTTAATACTACATTGAAATGACTACTTGACATTAATTTCACTTTGTGGCAAATGGCATAGATAATTTTGATAATTTAAACAAATGATATGATTTACTATGCAATTAGTATGATTTTGTAAAAATCCGTAATTGCTGAAAAACTGATTTTTAATATTGGAAATAAATCTAATGAAGTATTAAATTTAAAGTAGTAAAGATTTCGTTCAGTTTTAAATTATCGTTCGCTTATTGCTTATCATATTTATGTTTCGGATTTATTTTCCAATGCAAATGCATTTCATTTAAAGTCGTCACTCTTAATTCCACTTACATATATAAAATATATAAACAGCTTTGCGTCTTATTCAATTCATATGAGTCACATTAATAAAAGCAATTGATTGCTCAACTATATTGTTAACGTAAGGCCACGACCAGACAGTACAATTTTGAAAACTTCTGTACTTTCTTTTCATCTTTTTTTCCAAATCTTGGACTTTATAAAAACAACCATTACAGCAAAAGATTAAGAGCTTGCATGTATTAAGGCTTTTAAACATTTCCTTTGAACTGCAGAAGAACTACTACAAAATACACTTCCAACCTCATCCTTTTCTTATTTTAGTACTCTACAGTATTTTTTTAGTAACCCATGGTTATGGTTGGTTTATGCCCTCTGGCAAGTTATAAATTCCAATTAAACTGAAGTATAATTAAACAAAATTTACATTGCGATGAAGTATACATTTTCCTCAGTTTTTTTATCATCAAATTGTGAAATACAATTTTTTATCAATTGTGAATTGACTACAATCTTTGATCCCAACAGCAAAATAAATGTGGTAGTCTCAAATTTAATTAAAAGTGAAAAAAACTTGATAAAGTTTGTGCGATAAAAAACTTAAAACGTTTTCAATTAACATCTGCAGAATTAGTCAACTGAAATTGATTTTTATTGCTGTATGTATTCAACATAAAAAAGCTTTATTTTTTTAATAATAATTTGGATTTTTATTTGTAATCCAAAAAATATTTTCATCTTACGACTTGTAGTGTAACTCTGATAATTATGAATAAAATTTAGAGTGAATTTGAAACTCTTTCATGACATTTTTTAGTTTTTAGTCCGAAAATCCGAATTGCAAATTTTATGTTTTATTTTTTTATTATTATCTATTTGAAAATATTGAAAACAAATGTTATTAATCATTGATCAATTTTTATTGATTAACTTCCCGTAGGGTAAGTTATTGAAATCGTCCAAAAATTGAAATTGAAAGTTTTGGGAAGAAGTGGTGATTAGTTATTGGGAAAAAACAGGTCTAGTCGTTTTAGAGATACTAAGCTAAATGTGCAAAAAATTGCAATTTTCGAGAGAACGAAACATCCGATTTGAATGACTCAAAAAATCTTTTGATTTTTTTTTTATTTCACAAATATATATTTTTTCGAATATCGAAAATAATTCTGATTTTAATTTTAATTCTAGCCAAAATTCTAAAGCTCACTTATATACTTGAAATAAATAATTTTAAATTAGCAATTCAGTTTATATAATATTTAGAAATATGAGATAAGATCCTTCATTCTAACTCCTCTTGGAAGGAGATCATTGAGTTTTTTTAATAAACTTCTCGTAGTGTAATTATAGTAATCGCAAAAAAACAAAAAGGAAAATTTTGATATATCTTTACGTTTCAGAGGTTTCTGAACAATTTGTCATACCTTAGAAAAATTTGATATATGTGTGTCTATGCGGATACAAATTTTCGTCGACAATTTTGCGAACACGGATCAACCGATTTAAATAATTAAAAAAACATTCAATTCCTGCTGATAAGAAGACGTGCTGATTAGTTTTTGGCAAAGGCAGGTCTAGCCGTTTTGGAGATACGGGGCAAAAAGTGCCAAAAATGGTATTTCAGTTTTTGAGATAACGGAGCGTCTGATTTAAATAATTTAAAAAAACATTTTACTTGTATTGACGAACTGGTAAAATTATTGCAAAGGCAGGTCCAGCGTCTCTGGAGATCCAATAAAAAAAGTGAAAAAGAGTGCCATTTAGCGGTCAAAAATGAACATTAGTATGTGTACACTGTATTACCAGATAGTTTATAACGATTATGATAATAAGTAGAAATATTGTGTACATTTATATGGGTTCTGTACCAATGTTTACACGTTAGACGACTACGCGGCGCTTACGCGCTTCGATATTTCATCTCTATGCAGATAAAGCAATACGATTGCTTTGAAAAAAAGTTCAGAATTTCCAAAATATTAGGTTGTCAAATATCTCCCTTCCGCTTTTTTTTGCTCTTGGTTTATAATACAAAAAGGCGGAAGGGAGATATTTGACAACCTAATATTTCAAAATACACTTTTCTTCAAAAAGTCTTTTTTTCAAAAAAAGTAAATTTTTGTCAAAAATTTATAGTTTCTCAAAAATCTAATTTTTCAGAGTAAATTTTTTTAAGAAATGTTAATCTTTTAAAAAAAAATTTTTGGTACGGAAAGTTCCAGTAATTTGCCTTAAAGGCACGATGCCATACACCCCACTAGTTTAGTTTTCGGTATGAAAAGTTCCAGCAATTTGCCTTAAATCACGATTTCATACACCACTAGTTTCATTGATAATTTCTAATAAAACCAAATCAAATCGAAGGTTTTAAAATACCTATCTATCTCTTGCAGAAGCTAAATTGTCCATTGCACTTGCGCATTTGATCGGGCCTCCGATCGCATTCGCAATGTGTGCATTTAATGTCTTCATCGTTTAAATATAATCCATTGATCTAAAGAAACGATTGGATTGCACAATGTGTGCAATGTACGAAGGAATGTGAAATAATTGTAAATATTTATTATTACTGAAATGCATGTGTGGATAGTGTGTCTATGCCTCCTCGTAATGTTCGAATCACGCCTCGAGTGAGTGATCGAATATTCAGCAGATGGCAGAGAACATTATGTCTGTCATTCGACGCTCATACAGGGATGGCAAGTCGATTCGACGACTAACTCGCTTTTGTTCATCGAATCAAAACATTCACGAACTGTACATCGAACAATTTAGTTTAGACTTTTAGTGCTCAAAGTCGTTGTGATATTAATTTTATTCGGGTGTCATGTAAATTTGTAAAAAAGTGTTTGTGCTCCGTTGCCTTTGAATAAATTTCATGTGCTCGCACGATGTTGTCATTGCCAGTGCTGCGACAGAAATAGTATGAAAATTCTTCGGACGGTTGCGAGTTTTATCTATATCTTCATGCATATCAATTAGACAGGATATTTTTGAATAGTAAGCATTTTATCATATATTTTATAAAATAATCTATTATAAATAAAAAAAATTATCATTTTTTATGATTTTTTTTCAAAATAAGGAACTAAAATTTTTTGTTTACAATCTCACAAAAATAAGAAAATGATTCATTATTTAAATTCTACAAATATCTTCTCTTATTTGTATACCAAACCTAGTACATATACACAATTTTAGTTGTAAACTAGTGTCGTGTGTGGCATCACGCCTTAAGGCAAATTGCTGGAACTTCCTGTACCGTAACGAAATGTTCGAGGAATATTAAATGTTTTCGAATAGATTATTATAAATATTGTAACATTGTATAATATTTAAAAATATAAATAAAATATATATTTTATTTAAAAATTTAAATAATATTTATAAGAATTATATAAACTGAATTGCAAAGTTGAAATTATTTGTTTAAAGTATATTAGAACTATAGTCAGAAATAAAAAGGAAATCTGAATTATTTTCGATATACAAAAAAAAATTTTTTTTCCAAAATCAATTATTTTGTTAAAACGAGCAGAAAGTTTTTCGAATCATTTAAATCGGACACTTAGTTCTCTCAAAAACTGTCATTTTTTGCACATTTAGCTCTGTATCTTCGAAATGGCTGGACCTGCCTTTGCCAAAAACTAATAACCACTTCTCCCAATCATTACTAATTGAATGTTTTTAGATCATTCAAATTTGATGGTCCGTTCCCTCAAAAATTCGATTTCTATTTTCTTTGTTCTTTCCTCGGTATCTCCGTAACGGCTGAACCTACCTTTGCCAAAAATTAATCAGCACATTTTCCTATCAATAGGAATCGAATGTTTTTTGAACTATTCAAATCGGTTGATCCATGCGCCTGAAAACGTGGACGAAAAAATGCAGACACACAAAATGTGGACGAAAAAATGCAGACACACATCCATTTTTTTTAGATATACCAAAATGTTGAGAAACCTCTGAAACGTGAAGATATGCGAAAATTTTTATTTTTAATTTTTGACTCATTACTATAACTTACCCTGCGGGAAGTTAATAATTCAGTATATTAAATTTTATGCATAACAAAAAGAATTTTCTTTGTATTTATATAACAAAACTTGTATACAGATCAAATTTGTATATAAATTTTTATTTGTAATGCTAATTTCAAACTGTGTTCCAATGAGTGAATGAAAGGACTTGTAATTTCTTGTTTGAAATCTTTATTAATTTAATATTTTTTGTATTTATAAAATATATATGACATGTAATATTTTGTACGATATTTAAAACATATTTGCAATAATTACTGAGTTTATAAATATTTTCAATACATCCATTCTTGAAATATCCATCTGTTGTTTATATTTATAATACAAATTTTAAACTGTTCATTATTTTTTCAATAAGTAAATGCAAGGATTTGAGCCTTATTCCTAAAACTCTTTATTCTAAAGATTTTTTTTTAGTTTAATAAATTTTCTCACGTATAATATTTTTCATGATATTTGATCTATATTTGCATCAGTTTCTGCGATTATAAATATTTTCAATGCATCCATTCGTAAATTTTATTCTGGTTTGTAGAGAAATGGCCATGTGTAGAACAGATTTGTTATTTTGGGACATCATTAAATCATGATATTGTGGTTCTTAAATTTTGAACCATATTCATATAATATGTAAATATATATTATATATATATATATATATATATATATATATATATATATATTGGAACAAAGATGCCAATAGTAGTAAAAAAGCAAAAAGATTTTTATTTTTTATTGGCGTTTCGAAAATAAGAACTTTCAATCTTCAGAATATCTATCAAGAAATATGATCTTGATTAGATATAAACAAACCAACACTTATATTTTTATATAATTGTTTAAATTGAATTGTGCTTTCAATATTATATCCCTTTATATAGTAATATTAATTTATTTGTATTCTATTTATGAATTATTATATTGTGAAACACAATTCAAAGAAAATATTCACAATTACTTGATTATATGTTATATGATATGATTATATGTTAATATGTTAAAATACTTTTAAAAATTATATCATAACTCAATATTTAACTAGTTGAAAGTGGTATTTTGCGTTAAGACAAGTTGCATGAACTTGTTGAAATATTGTAAAAATTGACTTAATCAACCGAAATTGAGATTTAGATATTTATATGAAATTTTCAACTGCACGATGTCTATCAACATAAATAATTTCATCGAAAAAAGTTTTCAAAAGTTAATTACGAAGGAACAGCTCGGCCGATCTTTGTCCAAAACTAATTAGCACGTTTCCCAAATAATTCTTTAGAATTTTCAAAATCGAGTCAGTACTTTTGGCTAAAACGTGGACGAAAATTTTTTAAATTTCATGCAGCAAATTTTAAATTTGCTAATTTAATTAGCAAATCGGATTTTTTTATGTTGAAAAAAAGTTTAGCGAAAAAATCCGAATACACCACAGCAGTATAGATAAAGCTTAAGAATAATTATAATTATTTAAATGAGTGCAAATGCTTTCATATGCACGCGATGTAATATTAAACATGTTATTAATTGTTACAACATGTTTTTATCGAAACGTGCGTGCTGCCCGTTTTAACTCGAATTCAATTAAGATAAAACAACTCCATGTGCTAATTGATATATACAATATATTATATATACATACATATATATATATTACATATATTGTATGTGTAATTAATTACATATTGTTTGACAAATTATGACGCTTGTCTGATTATTATTTATAATATATTTTATGTGTTAATTAATGATTCTTATACACAAGCATTGTATACAACTACACTGTCATTCGTCATTATTTTTGCATCTGAACTAAAAAATCTGCGGTTTTGTGGTAAATCGTTGATAAATTTGATTTTTTTTTTGAATAATAAAAATTGTAATATAATATTTCAATTTATTGTAACTATTTAGCAATAGCGCTTTCTTTTAGTAGGACAGAGCTGGGCGGGTAAAAAGACCCACTACTATTATCTCAAAAACGAGTAAAGTCAGGAATTTTTAACAACGTTATTTGAATGTAAAGGTCAAAAAATATGTAACCAGCCTTAAATCAGGCTACCGCGAGAAATAACGGCCACATTGTCAATTTGGTAACGTAAGTTTTTTTTTTTTGATAGTCAACCCTTTCCACTCGGGAATTCTGGAATTTATATGTATTTTGTAGCCGGAGTGGCGGCATCCGAGTCCAAAGGGTTAATTTACGATACCTGAATATGATTTTTAAATATTTGTTAATTGTTTTCTAAGATTTATTGTTATTTTTAAGTTAGATTCAATTTCAATTTTTACATAACCTCTATTATATCTTACATGTGGTTGTGGTAAAAAGGTACCATTTAAACATTTATACTGGCGAGGTGTAAACAATAAAAAAGTAGTAAATAAAAATGTAAAATAAGCAACTTTACAAAAGATAAATTAAATTAAAAGGAATTCCAACTCTTCTTCTGACTTTCCATATGATGGTTGTATGCAATGCGATCTTTATGTAAAAATGTGGCCATAAAATATTTCAAACAGAAGTTATTTTCACTTTATTTATAATAATTGTATTTCAATAAACTTCACCTTTGGGGTAAAAACCAAGTGACAATTTTTTGAAAAATAGAAAAAACATAGTTTTTCAATTAGTTGTTAGGAGAAGTTGTTTGTTTGATATGTGTTATTTGTTGTGATGCAGTAGGTTTGGTTTTCACCGTTTAATTGCTTAAATAAGTCAAACTGGAGCTTTGTACTCCGTCTTATAAAAATAAGATAGTATTTTGTTGTTTGTTATATTATTTTGTATGCACTCAGGGGGCGTCCATTAATCACGTGATCGATTTTTTTAAGGATTTTTGGACTTCCTCTCCTCCTTGGTGATACGTGGTGATATTTAAAATTATTTAATTCCAATTATGTGAATGAGCAACTACATTATTTTTATTTGCAGAAGTTTTTATTTACCATTGCGACTTGAGAATTTCTAATGCGAAACACGTATAACACGTTCATTTCTAAAATATAATTGAATCTGACAATGAGTATATTTTTGTAGATTTGTCCGAACGTCTTTTTACAGGTTTCAGTCTATTTTTAATATAACCGTGACTTCAATATGTAGCATATATGATCTTTACATACTCGTTAACTATACTAGTAATTACCTGAATATTTTGCTAGATGTTTTGATCTATTTAAATATTTGTTTATAATTAAATAACTCTCAACTGTGAAATATAAATATTTACGGTTAAATATTTAATTACATTTAATTATAAGTGAATACAAAATTTATCAGACTGACTAGATAATATTATCTTCATTATATTATGCATGGCTAATACATTTAAACAAAGACTAAATAGAAACAAATATTATTTTACAGCTTTATATACAATAGCAGACTAGATAATATTATCTTCATTATAAGCATGTTTAATATCCTTAAGGAAAGATTAAATAGAAACAAATATTATTTCATAGTTTTTTGATTCTTCATAATAATTATATTTTTAATGCTAATTACAATGACAAACCGATCATGTCATATTTGAAGTATGACTTTAATTACATTATTGCTTTTAAATATTACACATATTTTTAATGCTATTATAAATTATTTATTATTATATAAATGTGTATAATGGTCGACACTAATAAAAGTGTGCATCGCGAGTGTTACCATATTACCAATAAACATTATTCAAAATTGTTATATGATGTATTTATTTTTACTTAACATAAATTTTCTATTTTAGTATCCAAAATATATATTTAAAAAATCTCAGAATTAATAAGCAATAATTAACCCTTTTGCTACGAGCGTCATCTATAGTCGACATACGATTCACTGAGTGTGACGAAATTTGCCAATTTATCACTCACAAGTCAGAGTTAAGTTGTAAATTGTGATTGTTAAGAGTAATTTTATATTTTCGAATACAATTTTATCGATTTTTTTGTCATAATTCAGCAGTCAGAATTTAAGAGTCCTATAAGATGTTGGGATAATTTTGACGTAATACTATTCGGTTCTACAGATGGTAACCCAAACAGTTGTCCCATGTCCCATCTCTCAGTAACATATTATTATTACAATGCCTGTAATAGGGCCAATATTTATCGATGCACCAATTCCGGATCAGGGTTATTTTCATTTGGAAACATATTGCTATCTGTATTTCCAAATGAAAACCATCGTCACTACTGCTGGACAACATGCTGCTCGAAGTGGGATCGAACCCGAGACACCTTAGATTTAGGTTTAGACGTTCTAGCCGCTTACCTATGAGCGAGCGCAATTTAATCGATAATGATTGGAAAATCTGAAAGTATTAGTATAACAAATACTCATAATAAAATGGTTAATAATACGAAAAGACGGAGTAAATTATGTATATTCTTTATTATTTAGAAAATATTGCCTCAAAATTAACTACACTGTACTTCAGTGTTAATGTGTATAATGTAAAACTCAGACATATATTTTGTTTTCATTTTCTAGAGCTTTTTTACGAATTTCCCGGAGTGTGAGTGTGGCGTAGTAAATACTATGCCAACGGACTTTTCACAATTATCTTCTCAAACAACTTCCCAGCTGATTTCGAAGCCGCCAACAGTGGCGACGCTTACGCGGCCAAACTGGCGCACAACAAGGTTTGTCAATTATGTTTTTTATATAAACAAATATATATATATATATATATATATATATATATGTTAGAATAGTTAACTTTGATGTTGAGATATTTGAGTAAGTTCTTCTAAGACTAAGATTTATAAATTAATCTAAAATTTTCCACATTTTACAATGGTCATTGTTTCAACGAATAATTTTGTATTATAAACAAATATTTTACATATAGACATGTAAAATATCTTAACTAAATAGAATCCGAAGGTTAAACAAACATAGTAAAATTTTTTTAAAGAAAAAACATTACTATAGGCAAAAAACTGGTACAGGACTGGTATAATTATGGTTGATATAAAACAAGAGGTCACAAGGTCAAAAAACTTAAATTATACAAATAACAACAAATATTCAAGAATTCGTAATAAACTACTTTTACATAACATTTTATACAGTTCTTTTGTTGACAAAATTTCAATATAAAAAAATGATTAAAAGCAATTTAATAGTTAGTAAAATAGTGATCTCTTAACAGAAAAAGATATAGACTGGACATCATTAGCCGGGTCATGTAAGATTAAACCCATATTAAACCTTAAAAAGTTGTTGCCAAATGTTGTTAATTACTTTTTGATTGTTTCGGTTGTAAATTTACTTTTCGATTGTTTCATTTTTTTGTTATTATTTTAAATTCAATTTTTGTGCACAAGTATCACGTATTTTTATTTAAATATTGAATATTGAAGTTATAAATTTATAAAAAAATCGATATAGAGTAAATAGGGGGTTCATGGCAAAGTACAAGTGGATAAAAAAGTTTGGAAAACTTATGGTCTAGCCCAGACCTTTTTAAACTTATGTCCTTCTCAACCCGATTTACGATTGCGTGTTTCTGGGCGACACCGTTTATGATTGAGAGTTTTTTGACGACGTCACACATATAAAAAAAATTAATATTTTTGAATAATTCATTAGTTTGTAACAATCTACATATACATTTGAAACTACATTCTTTGACAATTCATTGAGAACATACATAAAGTTATAAAATGTCATACGTGATGTTATAAAATGATATAAATATTTGACATTAAAATCTCCCGTGACCCCACGATTTTCCCAAGTTACCCATAGTTTAAGAAGCCGTGGTCTAGCCAAATGGAGTACGTGATTCATTTACTTAGAAGATAGTCCCGTACCTTAAGGGATCACACAGCCTTCGCCTATCATCGATTTTAAATATTATTTTTATCAAGATTTATTAATTGGTTCATTGTGCATTATAAAACATTCAGAATTTAGACGAATTAAGTGTGGAAATCTATTCTAAAATACTAAAATTGTTTCTTTCATTTCTCCATGTCCTCGGTAGTATAGTGGTCAGTATCCCCGCCTGTCACGCGGGAGACCGGGGTTCGATTCCCCGCCGGGGAGGATTTATTTTTGTAAACAATTCGAAAAATCTTTATGAAACTTTTTAGCTTGAAAATAGAAATATAACAGCTGAATCTTAAAATATTTTTTTTGTTTTTTTGTTTTAATTTCGAACTTAGCCCCAAGCTCACAACCTACTCCAACTCCAACAGCTTTCAATAATCTTTTCATTCGAATTTGTTACAATATTTTTTTTAACCCTTTCCACTCGCGAATCCGAAATTACTATGTATTTTAACATTGCTATGTATGTTAACATTGTTAACAGTAATCAGAATTTATTGTTGTTCTATGGCTGTTTGGTTCAATATTAACTCAAGTATTTTACTTGAGTATAAAAAGTTGGCATGGTAGATAACCTCCAATGAGGATCACTAATTACTAAAAAAAGATCTGGTGGTTGCTTCTTCAGTCTTCTGGGTTCAGAGTCCAACAGTCCAACAAAGTTATATTCTAAAATGTTCTGTAATTTAGAATAATTTGAGGCTATATGACTGTATAAAATAGGTAGTTGTAAGTGGCATTTTATCTTAAGGCAAGTTGCATGAACTTTCCAAAATATTGTATTACTTAATTAAGAAAAATTAAAATGTACCTATTGAAAGAACATATTCTACTGTTTATTTTGAAAATGGTTTTGCTTTTACAAGTTAATTATTAGTTGCAAGGAATCAGATAGATCATATATCTGAAGGCTATGTTCTACCTTGAGGTGTGGTGCTATCTTTTAGGTAAATGAAACACGTACTCCATTTGGCTAGACAAAAATATGTTTTCAAATTTTGTTATTCAAATCATGTGGTACGATTTATCTGCATCTTCCATGAACATATTTTGAATACTACATCAAAATTACTGAATGTTGTATAAGAACGACAGATTGTAATTCACAAATGTAAAAAAAAAATATTTTTAATACTAGGATTCTTCACCGGTGACTTTTAATTTTGCGAACATAAAATTTTAAACATAGTTTTTTTAATGCAGAAATTTTGTCAACAAAGGAAGAAGAAAAAACAGCGTTAAAATGTTATGTAAAAGTAGTTTATTATATATTCATGAATATCTTGTTATCTTAATTTTAGTTTTTCGACCCTGTGACCTCTTGTTTTGTATCATCCATAACTTTATCCAGTCCTGTACCAGTTTTTTGCCTATAGTAATGTTTTTCTTTAAAAAACGTTATAATGTTTGTTCAGCATTGCGGTTCTATTCAGTTAAAATGTTTTGTATGTGTAATATAAACTATTTTTTTATAATAATGACCATTGAAAAATATAAAGTTGAAATCATTTTGTAAAACATCACAAAGTTTTAAAATATTGTGATGCATCTCTACATTCGCATATTTTATCATACTGTTATGTACTACAAATTACTCATTGATATTTTTAGCAACATCACCGTCAATTTCATCTCATTTCAGTCGTCGGGTACGTCTACTTCACGTAATTTTTGTTCAAATTCATGATTTTGCGATTTCAAAATGTTATTTAGATTTTATTGCTAAATTCGAATAAATAAGAAATAAACCATATTAAGGACGAGGTCAATGAGATAGGCATTGGAACGTCGCCTATCGTGTGGAATAAAAAACTAAAATTTAATCTATCTTGTCTCTATATAGCGCCCATAAAATGATGTTTGATAGCATTATATTAAGTCCAACTTCTATTTGCATATTATATCGTGACCGGAATCAATAGCAGGAATTTACCTCATGATAATTTATTTTATATATGTTCATACACATCTATACATACCTGTGCAGTGTGCATGTATGTACAAAATACATATAAATTATTATTACAAATTAGTCTTTTATATTATATTTTAATTTAATTTCGATCTCTATTTTTATTTTGAACTAGCTGATTCGGCAAACGGCGTGGTACAATAAGATATTTGTAAACACTTTCTAGAATATCCAAAAAAAATTATGGAATTATTGATATATTTGATGTAATGCGAGCTATATAACCAGGTTTCAAAATATTTTATTCCAGAAGATCAGCAGAATTTTCTTATTTAAATTGTTGTGTATTATAACTCGAAATAAGTTATAATAGACAACAATTCGGCAAAATGTCTCCTCGATCGATTCCAAATTTAGGATCTTAATTTAAATAACCTAAATAAAATAATAATATAATCTAGAAAATATTAAATGAGTACAAAATTATACATATGACTTTTTTCAGAGTACAGACTTTGAAAAGAAAAGATTTTTAAAAAAGGACATTTATTAACCCTTGAAATAAGTTCATATCTTGAGTTTCTAATAGCACTTGTGACCTATTTAATAATGTTTTTGTGTATAAATAGATCTTACTACAATTAAATCATATACATCTAAAACATTCTATTAAATTTACTTGTACATAATTTTTCAAAATCATTTGACATTTGACGTATGAGTCGCCGTCCATTGTTTCATTTTAAATTAAGCTTTTACAAAAAAATTAAATTAAAAATGTAAAGTTTCTATGCAGTTTTGAAATAATTTCTCACCTTTTCCACAATCTCTAGATTAGCACAAATATTTCAAGACTAAAACTGGACAAATCGGTTTAGCCGTTTTTGAGTTTTTGCGTACCTAACGTAATATAACATAATACCGAGTTTCATTATTATGTACGATTTATTGCAGGAAGATACCTTCTTCTGACATATCATATCTAAGTTCTCTATTTTTATCAGCTCTTTTAGTCATTTGCTTTTACCTTTTACATTGTCTTGTAAACCCTCTTTTTGCAATTCGTCAAATTTTTGGCGTTTCATGATCGAATCTATTCGAGCTCTTTGTTCTCGGATTCTTTGAATTATTTCTTCATACATGACTTTGTCAAACACTTTTGTCTTATCAATTTTTCTCTATGTCACAATTCAAAACACTCTAGACAGCTTTCGTCGGCTTTTCTTTAAAGTACATATCTTTCATCCAAACAGCTATGTAACAATCATTTTTTTATCAATTTTGCAAATCAAGGTACGGTTTCACATTCACACACACACACACACACACATGTATATACATATATTAGGGCGGGTCGATTTTAAGGTCACTTAGGCACATATGATTTTCGGATACTAGGGATCAAAATAAGATACTTTACTGAAGAAACCATACCTCTAAAGTGAATTCTGATGTCCCGTACATTGACCCAAAGAATTTTGAAATATTGTTTTTTCCAAAAGCAATTATTTTGTCAAAACAAGCAAAAAGTTTTTTGAATCATTTAAATCTGATGCTTAGTTCTTTCAAAACCTGCCATTTTTTGTACAACAAAAAATTGAATTTTTTGAAAAAATAAAAATACTTCGATCAGGCCCGAGTTTATTTATGTATAAATTTCAATAAAATATACTAAGCGGTTTTTGAGTTACAGTGGTCACAGGTTCAAAAACGTAGTTTTGAGAAAAACGCGTTTAAGGTTTCACATTGGATTTACGTACAGAAATTCGAATTATTGAATTACTTAAACCATGCCATCTATTTCAGGGCCAAATAATAGTTCATAAGTCATTGTGCAAGTTTCCAAAATTTCCATTTGCTGTTGCCTACGAAGCATTCTGGCCTCCTGAATGT